TTTCCAATAAAACGTGCCCCCCGTGCATATATTAATACTTTGTATGTCTGCCTTTATATTTTTAGAAGCTCTTTGATGTAATTTAGCATGGAATCCACTGATTTGGAGCAGTCCCCGTTGATTTTGGAGTCACGATACCTAATGTCTATAATGGCCGTCACAAGCTTCCCTTTCTATCTTACCTGCGAGAGTAAACTTTGAGAAGGCTGGAGAATGCATCGACCGAAACGTTATGACAACTGCAAAATCAACAGAAAGAATGGGTTCAAAACTCCGAACAACCCATAGAATAAGGACTATTCAAATAATTCTAGAAGCTATCTTTCCTACGAAAGTAAACGTGTAAAGGGCTGGAGAATGGATCGGCCGAAACGTTATAGTAACTACAAAAGCAGCTTAAAGAATGAGTTAAAAATTCTTAACATCTTATGCAGCGATAATTCTTCTGTCTTCTGTTTTAATGCACATGAAACCTTTTAAAAGTCTGGGTCATTTGAGGTCTTAAAGACACAAGATGTCAACTTTTCTCGGACATACACCCTTTTGCAAATTAATTGAAACAAAACGAATAAGTCCGTTATTATTTACTTTTTTCGTACCTTTCCAATGAAACATGACCCAGTGCACATGTTAGTAATTCGTATGTCCACCAATCTTTTTTTTAGAAGTTCTTTAATGCGATTTGGCATTGAATCCACTAATTTGGAGCAGTTATTTAGCATTGAGAACTGTTTTTCTTGTACCAAAGGATATATGTACAATTTTGTATATGAACACATACACGTATATTTATTTATATTTATTCATTTTTCATATATATATATATATATATATATATATATATATATATATTATTTATTTAAAAATATGATTCCAAATCGCGACATACGAAGTCCCATGTTTCAAAAACAAGAGCCGAAAACTTCAATATAATTATTTAAATTAAATTGAGTTAAAATAAGCTCTGTTCCATCTTCAAGCGAAATTTTTTTTTGAATAACGTGTTTCTGAAATTTACGTGTTTTAAAAATTGAAATCAAAATTTCCATGGTAAGAGCTAGGGTGAATTGTTTAAATTGGGTAGGCGTGTGTTGGGTGTTAATAATAAGTATCAGTATAGAGTTACTTTCGTAGATGTCAAGTCAGGGAAAGGTAGGGGTGTCTAAATTTGAAACGGGAGATGTATTAACCCTCGTCTAGTTTGCATGTCTATGGAGATTTATTTATTTTTTATTTTATTTTTTATGAAAGGGATTTGTGCATATAAAAAATTGTCGTAACGTTTGTTTTTTGACGACTTCATAAAGGGTTATCTTTTTTTAGAGTATTTAAACTATTTATTTGGGCTATGCATTATGAAGGGAAGTTAATTATTCAAACCATGAATCTGATGAGTGGGCTATGGATTAAACAAGTTATTATATTGTATGCTAGTTTTTAGCTAATAATTCAAACCAAAAATCTGATGATGCCTACAAAAAACCGTTAACTCGTGTCTATTGTTTAAAAGATTATTATTATTTATAAGCTTAATTATGTGCAATTTGTCATGGAGGCATAAAGGGCATGGGTCATCCCAAGTTTATATATATATATAATTACATGAATGATTCATACAAAAATGTAGGAATGATTCATGTAATTATAAATTGAACTGCACCTATAATTGAAATATAATATATATATATATATATATATATATATATATATATATATATATATATATATATATATGATGGATTCTCTCGTTGAATTCGACGTATGAGGTTCCGACGACCACGATCTAATTATCTGCATGCCTATGACGGACATGACTTTGGAGACTGGCTCGAGAATTGCACAAAAGACTACAAACAGTACAGGAAAAGGTATTATATCAAAGTGCAGCAGGAACAGTTAGATGTCTTATTTTGCTTTCTTGTCTCATGTAGTCGACTGGTGGTTACTTCTCAGTGCAGCTATATCAATGTCGCACTTCTTTAGCTCCAATGCGACCAGAGCTTTTTTTCTTTCTGGTGCTGAGTTGTTGTCCTGTAGAGTTCGTACATTCCAAGTGCCAAGATTAACTTGATGTTGTTTCGTAGAGTTTTTCGCTGTAGCCGGATATGTGTGGAACTAATTAGATGTAGTTGTCAGAAAACTAATATAATGATTCGTTTCACGTGGGGAAGTAACAGTGCAAAAGACTTGGAAACTCCGAACGACAGGCCTCATGTGTTATCATCGCGGAGTTTAACCTCTCCGGACCACAGTCAATATCAGCCAGTAAACGCCTGTTGGCAGACACATGCAATATAATGACCGGGTTAAGCTGTCATGAGTCTTCCTTCCCATCTGAAGTCTTTTTATCGTGAAACCAACACTAAAAGTATTGCTAACTAAAGCTCAGAGAGACTTCTTTCACCATCATCGAGGGCAGCTAGCCCGCCCCAGTTCTCAACCTGGTACTTTATATAGCTCCGTGGGTTATAGATATATATTTTACACTGGATATAATAATAATAATAATAGTAATAATAATAATAATAATAATAATAATAATAATAAAGTAATCGCATACAATTGCTAATAATTTTATACGTTATTATTATTATTATTATTTTAAAAGTATAGCAATATATTGTTACATTAATGACGATCTTTTTACTCCCACATCCAGTGTGTATATATATATATATATATATATATATATATATATATATATATATATATGTGTGTGAGTGTGTATTTAGGCAGCAATCCTTCCTTTATGCATGTTTCATTAAAAACGACAGACAAGGTAGTACGGTTAGGCTTTTTATTTAATTTTTCTTGTGTTCTGACAAGAGTTTTCTTTTTCTGGACAAAGGGTGTGTAAAAACTGTCCAAATGTTTTAGATTTCCGAGCGCTTTCGGCTATACCTTTAGCCATTATCAAGGATGATTCGATTTTTCAGCTTAATTGAGTGTGTGCGTTCTGTGTATGTATCAGTGTGTGCTAGGGATGCTTTTAATTTCCGAATACGGTTAGCACATTGTGGCTTTGTTCGTAGTTAATATTATTATTATTAAAAGAAAAAAAAAAGAAAAAGCCAACTCTTATCAATATTAACTACGAAAGGTATAGCCGAAAGCGCTCGGAAATATAAAAAATTCAGACAGTTGTTACACACCCTTTGTCCAGAAAAGAAAACTCTTGTCAGAACACAATAAAAATTAAATAAAAAGCTTAACCGTAGTACCTTGTCTGTCGTTTTTAATGAAACATGCATATATATATATATATATATATATATATATATATATATATATATTCCCTAGTGCATATTAATTGAAACAAACGAATAATTCCATTATTATTTACATTTTTTCGTATTTTTCCAATGAAACAACCCAGTGCACATGTTAGTACTTCGTATGTCCATTCCATGACTTCCATCGCAGACGATAGCTGTAGGACAACTAATCGACAGTCAAGACAATAGTATCTGGGCCTGATAAAAATCTGATGCAATCATGGATGACGTAATATTTTTCAAGGCCAAACAAATCTAATCATACACCCCGAAAATAGATTCATATTACTGCACGCCACTGCAAAGGACTTAATCTGAATCAAAAATAAAAATCGATTACACCCGGTCACCTCAGTGAGTTTGGAACTAACCGTATGGTGAATGAAAGGAAACTAAAGCGGTTGTTTCAATTAATTTGCACAAGGGTGTACTTATCTCCATTTACCGTAATTCCCCATGTATAATACGCCTACATCTATAATATGCACACCTAAAAATGTGCTGAAAGCGTGGGAAAATGCTTATTAAAAATGGTTTTTAACATAGAATAATATTATTCTAATTTAGTTTTATGATAATTCGTATTTTATTTTATATTTGTAAGTATTGTTGGGTACATATGATTGTATTTGACATCCTTCTCGGGTCACAATCGCCGAATGTTAGTGTCAAATTGTATGTTTGGGGTGAATAGTCATTTCGTAACTGAAATCGACCTATGAAACAGCAATTTTTTGAATATTTTTTGTAGCTGTGCATAATACGCACCTCTAATTTTGACTTCAGAGTTGTCCTTCTCCTAGACCAGCTGCCATCCAAGGCTATAGAACCCAGTCTCTGCTGCTATTTACCCATAACTGGAGGAAGAAGAAGAGGATTCACACTTTTCCCAAAACCTTTCCCACGCCTTTTCTGATAAAAGTATTAGCACGTAAGGGAACGTAACTGGATTCAATTGGAATTCGAACTCGGCTCTCCGATTCCTCAATCCAAGCCGCTATCCATTACTCCCCCCTCCTCCCCCCCCCCTCTCTCTCTCTCTCTCTCTCTCTCTCTCTATATATATATATATATATATATATATATTTATTGATGTGTGTTTTGTGACCCTGGGTTTCACGCTTTTGCGATCGTCAGACAAACTCTAATAAGTACCAGCATATAATATATAAATAATTATATATTTATTTATATTTATATACACACACTTTTCACACACACATATATATATATATATATATATATATATATATATATATATATATATATATATAAATAACACACACACACACACATATATATATATATATATATATATATATATATATATTAATTCCCCATGTATAATACGCCTTCTTCCATAATACGCACACCTAAAATTGTACTGAAAGTGTGGGAAAATGCTTCTACTCACGCATAATACGCACCCCTTGTTTAGTAATCAATCCCTATAAATTGTACCTCTCCAATATCATTAAGGCCAGCGTTTCTTACTCTTATTAAATATGGTTTTAAACATAGAATAATATTATTCTAATTTAGTTTTATGATAATTCTTATTTTATTTTCCATTTGTAAGTATTGTTAGGTACATATGATTGTATTTGACATCCTTATGGGGTCGCAATCGCCGAATGTTGCAAGTGAAATCGACCTATGAAACGGCAATTTTTAAATTTTTTTTGTAGCTGTGCATAATACGCACCCCTAATTTTGCTTATTATTTTTTTTAGAAAAAAATGCGTATTATACATAGAGAGTTACAGTAAGCAAAATTACAGCACAATTTTGGGGGTGCGTATTATGGATGAGGGCGTATTATATATGGGGAATTACAGTAAATAAAATAACATAAATCATAAAAAATTTAAATAAAAATAAAATCGTCTGTTATTTTCGCATGCTTTTTATTTAACGAATAAATGTCGATTAAATATCTATTGAAACAGTATAAAATATTTTTAGAAAATAATTTTTTTATTATTTCAAGATGGCCGTGTAGCTTGTTTTAGACACTGCACATCATTTTATTGAAACGAGATGGCACATCAAATATCAGATCATTGTACGACTTGCTTCTGATGATTCGATGTTGTGGTACATGCAAATCTCTGAGGAATTTATGATCAACATCTCCAATGATCACCGCGTATATTTCAATATGCTCAGATCTTAAACGCTTTATTTCGGCAGCTATATCAGGCCTGTTCAGCTCGATTGACCTGTCCAAAACCATAAGCCCGACTCGACGGACGTGAAAACCTCGTGGGGAAAACAACTTGTACTGTAATTTTTTCATGAGAGCAACGAAGGAGTTAGACTGGTAACGGTTGAATTCGTAGCTGATCTGAAAAGGGTTAGTAATGGATCCCATCGACAAGTCCTGATGGTGTAGACAGTCATCATAGATTATGCCGAAGTGAAAATTCCTGAATTTTTCACTATTTTTGAAAATCTCGTGGAAGACTTTCAAAATTGACTTTGTTTTTTCGGTTCCAAAATGGTTGTTATTTACCATAAACATGACTTCTGTCTTTTGGTATGAGTTACAATCTGAAAAAAAATAAAAATAAATAAAAGAAATTGATGTTTAAATTTAAATTTAATTTTGTAATTAATTTTAAAACGCCCAAGATATAGAGAGTTATATAATGAGGTAGTTGTAAGTAGATAACCATTGACTCTTGACTTGAAGTGGTAAAGATTATAGTGATCGGAAGTGTCTGTGTCTATGGTATGAAGGATCTTTGCTATGTAACGAGGCCCCATTTTGTCCTACATTTTACGCTTATATTATAAATTACAACATATAACTTAAAATGATGACTTAAATCTGTAGCTACTAGATGCCATTTTTACCTTACGAAAAGCTCCCATTCACCAACCCGTTCAGATTTCGTAATAATAGAATGGAACTTTCTAGAAGTCTCTAGAAACTTCTGGGTTCTAGAGGGTCTAAAAAACATATATAAACAGGAGTTCGTAGCAACTAGCCAGTTGCCTCTTGAACCCACAGCGACGACTATTGAGGTCAACTACATTTTTTTTATTCAAGAACTAAGCTTTGACCGTAAGAATCTAAATTCCTACAGTCCTCGAAAAGAAAAGACTATCAGTAAATACTTCACGCTTTTTCTTTGATATTATTGATCAAACTCTTTTATTTTATATATATGTGAATATCTAACTATTTTTCTAAGAAGAAAATAATATGATTCTTTGACTAGCGACGAATTCCTATTCGTCACCTTAATCTTAACTGAATTTGATTTACTCTCCCCCTCCCTCATACACGTTAAGCCAACTACTTCCTGGGCTCCCACGCGCTTATTAACTGTTAGCGTTTCCCAACGTATATTGTTTAAACCTCAGTTCTATTGTTTAAAAAATATCGTATTGTAAAATATATAAAAATATCGTATAATATGGATTTGTTTTAGTGTATATATTATATTTTATTCTTTATATTTCTGCTACACGGGTTTCCGGTCTCGTGACCTTTTTCCGGTAAATATAGGAATCAGTTTTTAAAGGAATACATTTTCCTTATGTTCTTTTAATGTTTCATTGTTCGTTTTAAGGCTCGCTACAAATGCAGAAAACAAACAAGGAAACATGAAAAAAACATAAGGAAAATTTATTCCTTTAAAAACTGATTCCTTTTATTTTCCTGAAGAAGGTCACGAGGCCGGAAACGCGCCTAGCAAAAATATGAATAAGATATATGTACACTAAGACCAATCCACATTATAACCAAAAACGTTTGCTGTTTCTCTCTTTTTTTGAAAATATACATTTTTCTCTCGTTGGAACAACTATAACCTTTTTCCTATATATATATATATATTTTCTGCTAGTGACATTTCATCCAAATCTAATTTTCTGCTAGTGACATCTCATCCAAATCTCTCCTGTAATATTCTCCAATTGGAAGTGAATTTTAAATCGCACGAAGGTAAAGTTTAGATTGGTATTTTAATTGAGATTGAAATATACTACCCCATTATTTGTAAAATTATTTAAATGGGAATAACCGTTGATAATTGGGTACATAAAAACAATCACGAGTTTACTTAATGAACAAAAACCAAAAACAATCACGAGTTTACTTAATGAACAAAAATCAAACGAATAGATGTCACCCTAACAAGCAATAAGATAAAAGTTTTAGTGGAATAAAAAAGATTACTAAATATAAAATGGATTACTCTTTCAATGTTCTGTCTATGAATTTTTCAAATCGACTGTTTCATAGAAAATACCCAAAACTCCACCGAATTTCAAATTAATTTCTTCGTAGATTGTTTTAACATTTAGATATTTATCAAACCTTAACCTCCCAAATATGCACGTTAAAGTAACGCGAATTAACAGCGTCTAAGAATTTGAATGAAACCTGTCGTGTAATTGATTGGGGTTGTTGTAACTTCTTCCTTTAATGTCGTTCTTATCATTCACCCCTTAGCCATCTATATCTAGAGACGAGACACGTTAAATTTGAGCCACATCTAGCCGACACACTGGGATTAAAAATAGGAAACTGAAATGATACATATGACACACTCATGTCCTCTCTCCCACCTCACTTCCTCACTTCGTTAATTTTACGTAGACTTGATGAGGTCCGTCAAAAACGTGTGAATTTCTTTTCATTTTTCATTTCAGCTTTTGGAAGTAAAGTCTGATGATCCAGAACCTTGTTAAAGGGGTTATGGTGAAATAGCTTATTACATGGAATATTAACGTGGTCTGTCTTTTATTTAAACATATCTGCTCTGAATTTTACATTGAGCTCTTTGGATATCATACGCCTCGGGTCTACCCATAAATAGTGCTTCATTTAAGTAATTCAGGTACCTTAAGACAAAACAATAGAAACAAAGTAAGCAAAATAAAGTTTTTTCCCATGACACCGCGGAGGGGATCAGTTTATATATTGATAACTAGCAGTAGAGCCCGGCGTTGCCCGGGGATGTGACAGTAAGAGATAGATCAAGTATCGACCATCATAAAGACTGAAAAATAAAATTGACAAAGATTATTGTTTAAGCTTGACGGACACGCATGTCTTAATTAGTTGTTTTTTGTTTTATTTTGTTTTATTTATTTTTACGAATTGGTCAAACTCAAACTCAAACAAAAACATTGTTTTCAATCGTTATGAGTCTACCGATTGAATAGAATTTTATTATAAACAATTGTCTTGTAAATGAAATTTTTAAAGCATTCTGAATGTAAAAATAAAGAAAAAAGTGTGCAAGACAATAAGAAACACCAAAAAAAAGTGAAGTTTTGTTGAAATCGGTTGAAAAATGTAGGAAATCTGATCCCATATATAAACGACCACACACACACACACAAACAACTTGGGTTTTATAATAAGTATAACTCGATATGAGTTGTCCCCCTTTCATTAATACCTCTTAATCGTGTTTTCAAAATGATTTCGTGCAAAAACAATTGTGTTTTTCCAATTTTTGGCGCTGTCAGAACCACCGCAAGGTAATTTTACGTAGTCCTGTGAAGTTTTGTTGAAATCGGTTGAAAAATGTAGGAAATCCGATCCAATATATAAACGTACAGACACACACACAACCTGGGTTTTATAATAAGTATGATAATATAGAATTGATCCCCCAATTTATATTCATTTTCTTGTTTGTTCATCAAATTCTGGTTAGCCATGAATCCATATGTTCTCCCCCCGCTATGGGTTAATTAGTAAGACTTGTATCATTAAACCATAATTATCAACCGAACCCAGATTTTTTTTCTTAAATAACCTGGAAAGAATTGATAAGACATAAAAAATACGAAGAAACCTTGAAATAGAATTAAAAATGTCTTACCGTCTTCACATATCTTATTAACTACATCATTGCGGATCCGATCCAAGGAATTGTAATCGGGTGTAAGAAAAAGGTGCTTGGAATAGGGCTTACTGGAGATTCCTCTGAGCTCTGCCTCTTTAATACAAGAGCCAGTTCCAATAACGAAAATTTCGATGTTAGCCTGCCGACATGCTCTCGCCTCTTGCTGGGTCGAAAGTTCGTCTGTAGAGGTACGATCTGTTAAAAGTATAGCCACACGCCTGGCATAGGGTCTTGCGCGATTACTAGCAGCAAACATATTCGTTCGCAAAAGCCTCAGCGCGTCCGCAATGTTGCTGTCATGTATCGATTGAGGAATCTGATTGATTTTCCATTTCAGTTCCGCTTTATCCCTGAAATCATTGAAGTGAATATAGATTCTTGCTATATCACTGAATATCTGGACTCCAATTCGGACCTAGAACGATAAAGAAAAGAAAATAAGACGTATTGTTGCTAAAAAAAAAAGGCCCCACTCTTGTTGGGTCGCAAATTCATCTTGAGAGGTGCCGTCTGTTACAAGTATATCCACGTTACTCATATTGGGTCTTGCACCTCTATTGGGCCTAAACATCTGCGTTAGCATCGCCCTCAGCGCGTGTCAAATGCTGGTATTGTCTAACGTCTGAGGTTTTTCAATGATTTGCGTTTTTAAAACTTCCTTATTCAAAAAGAATAAAAAAACAAAAAAATTAAGGTTAAGATGGATCTTTGGAAAATCGTTAAAGGTTTCTACCCCAATTCGGATCTTGAACGAAAAAGAAAAGAAAATGAGACGTGTTATTGCTAAAAAAAAGCCAGACTCTTGTTGGGTCGCAAATTCATCTTGAGAGATGCCGTCTGTTATAAGTATAGCCACGTTTATCATATTGAGTCTTGCACCATTATTGGGCCTAAACATCTGCGTTAGCATCACTCTCAGCGCGCGCGAAATGCTGGTATTACCGAACGTCTGAGGTATTTCATTGATCTCCGTTTTTAAAACAGCTTTATTCAAAAAATTATTAAGGTTAAGATGGATCCTTGCAAAATCGCTAAAGGTTTCTACCCCAACTCGGATCTTGAACGAAAAAAAAAAAAAAAACACCTGTCATTGCTAAAAATTGCCAGTCAACGGATTTTCGTGTCGGCAGGAATAAGATATAAATAACCGAACATTTATAAAAGGAAATTTAAAAAATTTTTTTTTTTGTAAATGCAATGTCACATTGTAATAGCGAAAGATGCTTTCCTGAAGTTAAGCAAAGTATTAGATTATTGCAAAAATTATAAAATTAAAAACAAAATTGCGCATACTAACAAAAATAAAAAAGAGGTGGAGAACGATCGAAATCATCTGAATGTTTTATTTTTGTTGCTGCATTTCCTATGCTTTGTGAAATCCAGGGAGCATAATATGGCGAAAGTGCCACCCTTCATCTTCCTTCTTTAAGGATATTTTCGGACAAAACGTCAACATTCAACAAAGTCTGACTCGCAACTAAACACACCAGAGATCGACACCAAAACAAACGCTATTTAAAAAACAAAACTCACAAAAAAAAAAAACATTTATTAATGAAGCCTCTATTAATATAGTCTCTCGTTTTGTTTGTCTCCCATCTTTCTACAAGTTTGTTGGTACCATTTTTGTAGAAACTGTTTTTTTTTCTAGAAGATGGTTGTGATGTAGTTTTTGATTGGCTGCACAGAGTCAATTTTTTTCTCATTTAAATTGTTCTGTAAAGACCGGAACAAATGAATATCCCATTGTGCCAAGTCATGACAATTACGTTTAATGCTGGGGTGTGGGGTACCATTTCAACTCTTTACACATCAGAAAGATTTGTTTTGCAACAACAAATGTTCTTGTGCTGGTGTCGTATCTTTAAGGGTATTCATTTCCGGCAAAATGTCAACATTCAATAAAGTTTGACTCGCAACTGAACGATGAAAGATTTAAATCTAGAACACCCCTGAAATCAGCACCAAGTATGTACCCAATTAGAAATTTTAAAACAAAATTTTACATTATTCGGACTCTTATCCTCATCTTCATTGCCATATTCACAACGTTTCGGCCGTTGTACGGTCTGGCCTTCTTCAGATCATTGGAATTAGGGATCAAAACCTTTATTTCGTCCACCGGGTTACATTTTTCTAGATTCACTTCCGGATGTCTCAGTTATTTCCCTTTAACTCAGCTCTCCAAGGTTTTTGTTTCCCCACTGCTGGAGCATGGTATTGAACCAACAACTCTTTGGGTCTAGTCACTGGATGTAATCAACACTTTTATCCTCAAAGACACATGGCCCACTGGATAAAGCCATCGGTTAGGTCTCTAAGCGATTTATTCTACCTGGATATCTAAGCTTACACAATCTGCTATTCCTAAGCGGTCACCCATCTAGTTACTGATCAGGATCGACGTTGCTTAACTTTGGTGATTTTACGGGAACCGGTGTTTCAACGTGATATATGACGGTAATACATTTATACCACGCGCATATCCAATCTTATATCACCTGTTATTCCTAAGCGGTCCCCCTTCGAATTACTGGCCAAGCTGGATGTTGCTTAACTTCGGTGATTGTAAGGGAACCGATGTATCAGCGTGATGTGACTAAGCCCTTTATACCATCCGCATATCCAAGCTTACAGCATCTGCTATTCCTGAGAGGTCACCCATCTAAGTACTGACCAAGCTTGACGTTGCTTAACTTCGGTGGCTATACGCGAACCGACATTATAGCGTGATATGACCGCATGGCCTTTATTGCACGCGTACATTCAATCTTCCAACACTTGGTATTCGCAAGCGGTCACCCATCAAAGTATTCACCAGGCTGAGATTGCTATTCGGTGATTGTACGTGAACGGACATTATAGCGTGATACGCCGCATATTCAATCTTCCAACACTTGCTATTCGCAAGCGGTCACCCATCAAAGTATTCACCAGACTGGAGATTGTTAACTTCGGTGATTATTACGTGAACGGACATTATAGCGTGATCGCCTTTAGATGTATTCAATCTTCAACACTTTGTATTCGCAAACGGTCACCCATCAAAGTATTCACCAGGCTGGATTGCTTAATTTCGGAACAGACATTATAGCGTGATATGACCGCATGGCCTTTATTGCACCGTACATTCAATCTTCAACACTTGGTATTCGCAAGCGGTCACCCATCAAAGTATTCAACCTTCGGTGATTGTACGTGAACGGACATTATAGCGTTATGACCGCATGGCCTTTATTAGCTTCAATCTTCCAACATTGGTATTCGCAAGCGGTCACCCATCAAACCATTCACCAGGCTGGAATTGCTTAACTTTGGTGATTGTAAACGTGAACCATTATAGCGTGATATGACCGCATGGCCTTTCAATCTTCCAACACTTGCGCAAACGGTCACCCATCAAAAATTCATTCGCGAACCGACATTATAGCTTCCGCATGGCCTTTAACACACGTACATTCAATCTTCCAACACTTGGTTTCGCAAACGGTCACCCATCAGTATTCACCAGGCTCGAGATTGATTAACGGTGATTGTACGCGAACCGACATTATAAGTGATATGACCGTAAGGCCTTTATTGCACGCGTACATTCAATCTTTCAACACTTTATATTCGCAAACGGTCACCCATCAAAATATTCACCAGGCTCGAGATTGTTTAATTTCGGTGATTGTACGCATCCCCGACATTATAGCGTGATATGACCGCATGGCCTTTATTGCACGCAACAGTTGGTATTCGCAAGCGGTCACCCATCAATTCTTTACCCCAACCGCATGGCCTTTATTGCCAATCTTAAAACACTTGGTATTCGCAAACGGTCACCCATCAAAGTATTCACCAGGCTGAGTGATGTTTAATTTCGGTGATTGTACGCGAACCGACATTATAGCGTGATATGACCGCAACTGGCCTTTATTGCACGCGTCATTCAAAATTCCAACACTTTGGTTTATTCGCAAGCGGTCACCCATCAAAGTATTCACCAGGCTCGAGACCATTGCTTAACTTCGGTGATTGTACGCGAACCGACATTATATATGACCGCATGGCCTTTATTGCACCAACAGATTCAATCTTTCAACACTTGGTATTCGCAAACGGTCACCCATCAAAGCATTCACCAGGCTCAGATTGTTTAATTTCGGTGATTGTACGCGAACCGACATTATAGCGGATATGACCGCATGGCCTTTATTGCACGCAGATCAATCTTCAAACACTTTGTATTCGCAAACGGTCACCCATCAAAGTTTCACCAGGCTGGAGATTGTTTAATTTCGGTGATTGGACGCGAACCGACATTATAGCGTGATATGACCGCATGGCCTTTATTGCTTTTCAATCTTCCAACACCTTGTATTCGCAAACGGTCACCCATCAAAGTATTCACCAGGCTGGAGATTGTTTAACTTCGGTGATTGTACGCGAACCGACATTATAGCGTGATCACCCATTAAAGAAGTGCTGGAGATTTGATAACTTCGGTGATTGTACGTGAACCGACATTATAGAGTGATATGACCGCATGGCCTTTATTGCACGCGTACATTCAATCTTTCAACACTTGGTATTGGTCACCCATTATTCACCAGGCTCGAGTTGACTTCGGTGATTGTACGTGAACCGACATTATAAATGATATGACCGCATGGCCTTTATTGCATTCAATCTTTCAACACTTGGTATTCGCAAGCGGTCACCCATCAAAGTATTCACCAGGCTCGAGATTGCTTAACTTCGGTGATTGTACCGCATGGCCTTTATTGCACGCGTACATTCAATCTTCCAACACTTGCTATTCGCAAGCGGTCACGCATCAAAAGTATTCACCAGGGTGGAGATTGTTAATTTCGGTGATTGTACGTGAACGGACATTATAGCGTATTCGCAAGCGGTCACCCATCAAAGTATTCACCAGGCTCGACGGTGATTGTACGTGAACGGACATTATAGAGTGATATGACCGCATGGCCTTTATTGCACGCGTACATTCAGATCTTTCAACACTTGGTATTCGCAAGCGGTCACCATCAAAGTATTCACCAGGCTCGAGATTGCTTAATTCGGTGATTGTACGTGAACCGACTTATAGAGTGATATGACCGCTGGCCTTTATTGCAGGTATTCGAAGCGGTCACCCATCAAAGTATTCACCAGGCTGGAGATTGCTTAACTTCGGTGATTGTACGTGAACGGACATTATAGCGTGATATGACCGCATGGCCTTTATTGCACGCGTACATTCAATCTTCCAACACTTGGTATTCGCAAGCGGTCACCCATCAAAGTATTCACCAGGCTCGAGATTGCTTAACTTCGGTGATTGTACGTGAACCGACATTATAGCGTGATATGACCGCATGGCCTTTATTGCACGCGTACATTCAAACACTTGCTAAAGCGGTCACCCATCAAAGTATTCACCAGGGTGGAGATTGTTAACTTCGGTGATTGTACGTGAACGGACATTATAGCGTGATATGACCGCATGGCCTTTATTGTACGCGTACATTCAATCTTTCAACACTTGATATTCGCAAGCGGTCACCCATTAAAGAATTCACCAGGCTCGAGATTGCTTAACTTCGGTGACTGTACGGGAATAGGTGTTTAAAAGAAATTTGACATTAACCTATATTCGGTTAATAGTTACATTAAATTGTTACGACTTACGAGTCCAAAAGATTCGAAGAAGCATAATCCCTGACAAGACCTTCACACGCTCGAGGCCAATTTAATCAATGGTCTGAGAAAAACGCTGACAGTTTGATAACGAGTTTGGCGCCTTGCATGACCTTCCGACCTTAGTTTCGAATTGACTTCGATCCTCATTGGGTGCCCCACACTTTCGACCTTGTGCCACATCTAAGTTACGCTTAGAAAAGCATGGTCTATGGTTAGCAAGCTTGTCTCGCTACATCAATTGCAACTGAATAGTGAGTTTCATACTCACTGAGTGCTCCTCATTTTTGGCCTTGTGCCACATCTGAACTACACTTAGAAAATCATACACACCCTACGTGGTGTAATGGTTATCAAGATTGTCTCGAGAGATCAATTACGACTGAGTTCGATCCTCAGTGGGTGCCCTATATATTTGGCCTTGAGCCTCATCTGAACTGCACTTATAAGATCCTGGGCGCTTGATGTGGCTTAATGGTTAGCCTGTCACGCTAGACGAATTGTGACTGAATAAGTTCAACCCTCACTGGGTGCTCCAGAATTTCGGCCTTGTGCCACATCTGGAGCAGCAATTCTCGAACTGAGAAAATAATCAATTCTGGTCGAACTGACAAGGCAGAATGGAGCAAAACAGCCTTTATTTTGAATGAATGTATGTATCCTCTTCATCTCCCTCCAGCATGAAAGGGTAAAACAGGCAACATGAAGACCGACTTTAGAACACAATTATTTTGGACAGTTTGTCAGCGTGCTACGAGGGATGTAATTTATTTGTGCGCGTTTTTCACTATAGCCTTGTGGCAAAGTTTGGTCTAGTAAAAAAAGTATCATTGAGCTCGTCAGGTAACCTACATACCTTGAACGAAATCGGAGAAAAAATTGTATTTATCGATTTTGATTGGCTTTTAAAATCCTTATCTCTTAAATTGTAGGTATGTGGCAAGTTTGGTCAAAACCCGTTGGATGGATATATTCGGTGCTAATACCAGGTTTCTGTATTCGTCCAACTCTGAATTAAAACCTGCGGAGGGTCGTTTGGGAACTGGTCCTTTCTGCACAAGGCCTTCACCACTATAAACAAATCTCATGTGCCGGTGTCGGGACGTCGGTTTCCTGGGACTTATCGGCCTGGCCCTCATACGTCGAACGCGACGGGAGAGTCGATTATATATATATATATATATATATATAATAATATATTCAAAATAAAAAAGTTATATTCACCTGTTTTGAACCGTTTCCGATGTCAAGTTGATCGACCATGTAATTGAAAAAATTCAATTGTTTTTGAAAGTGTTCTCTCCAAGCAATGGTTGAAGAAGAATCCAGGACAAACACAATATCAGCCGGTTGGTCCTTACAGGATACATCCGTGAAATTATTTGGCCCTTGGGTTAAAATAAAAAAAAAAACAAAAAAAAAAAAAACAAAAAACAAAAAAGCATAATTAATTTTTGAGTTTTGTTGATCATCAGACAGTAGCAAAAGACGAAGGCAAAGAAATTGTCCTTAAAATATCAATATGTCATATTCATAACTTTGTGATGGGTCCAGATAAACATGGAGTTTATTTAATAACGAAATCCGCCATTTGTGAAAATTTTATTTGAATCGATAAATATTTATTTGCTCCGGGGGTGAATTAAAATCGGTGGATTTATATTTGAGTCAGTCAGCATTATACTTGATAGGTAAATACTGTTTGTTTATATTTGAGCCTGGAAGAATTGACTAGTGTCTGAAACAGATCAATGTTGCTTGTTTATATTTGGGGCAATAAGCATTGACTTGGTTCAGGTGTGACAGGGGCGATATCAACCCTGTAAATAATAATGTTAATAAAGGAGGATATGCTGTAAAACGAAAAACACCAAGTGAAAGAGAGGCGTTTTCAAATAACCAATTGTTAATATGCTGCAAAGATTTTGAAATGTAAATGTTACAGAAAGAATACATTTACAAGAACACGAAATACAATCTTTTGGTAAGTATACAAAGGATATCAGATTTCTAATAGAAAATTACAGGAACAATAATAATTTGGAACTTTAAAAAAAGAAATGGATTTTGACCCTATAAAAATCGAAATTAAATTTAAGGATGTTTTAATCTAGAATTTATTTTTAAAACAAGAATCTCTGTAGTTTACAAAGAACGGCAGAATAATTAATAGCGAGGTGATAAACAATAGCGTCTTGTGAACCTTGGAAAGCAATCGATGAAAAAGTAAATTGTTTATTCTCGGAGGAGGGAAGTTTTACTTTGGTAGTAAGTCGGTACGTTCGCACTAGAAAAAAAAGATACGTCACTATTTTGGGATACGTGAGGCCGGTTCTCTTAATAAAGAGGCGGACCAACCGGAGGAGTGCGAGTTTTGCGTTCGTCTGTCTTCGAATGCTGTCGGACTGAGTGGAGAGACGTCAGAGATGGAAAAGGATGCGTCCGCTGTGTGTTGTTGAAGCTGAGGGCGAAGAAGCAAAATACCACGCCTAACATCTAAGTACCGCTACTCTTGCTATTACTAATACTACTACTACTATTGCTACTACTGGGAACGGAACTTCGAAGGTTGTAGCAGTTGCGCTAAGAACAGACCCAAAAGGTTTTAAACAAAGGTCACATCTCTCCTTTGCCGAAATTATTCGAAGTAATTGTGTTTGTTTGGTTATTGTTCACATGCAAGAACATTCAACCTTGTGCAACAAGAGTTATTATTTTTGTGTGTTTGCTTTTATATATATATATATATATATATATATATATATATATATATATATATAAATTCGTCCTTCGGTTAATTACTAAAAATTGTATCACTAAATCATTATTACCTAAAAAATATTCTTACTATCTGAAAGTATTTTCTGGCTTTAAATAACCTGGAATGGCTTGATAAGCCGTAAAAAATGAGTCCGTCAATCATTGAAATACACAGCTACACAGGTATTTAGATGTATTTACATTCTCTGGAATATATATATATATATATATATATATATATATATATATATATATATATATAAACTACCTTGACCACAAAATGGGGGATCAATTTATATATTGATTGTAATAAAGAGTTGATCCCCCACTTTACATCTGTATTACAGTTACTTGCTTGTTTATCAAATTCTGATTAGGTAGGAATCCATCTCTTGTCCCTCAGCAATGAATTAATTAGTAAGACTTTTATCATTAAACCATTATTATCTATCGTGGCCAATTTTTTTCCAACTTTAAATAACCTGGAGAGGGTTGATAAGTCATAAAAAATGCAGTAACACTTTTAAATAGAAATATAAATATCTTACCGTCTCTACATGTTTTATTAATTACATCTTTGCGGATCATATCCAAGGACTTGTAATTGGGTGTAAGAAAAAGATACTTAGAATGGGGCCGGCTAGAGATTTCCTTAAGCTCCGATATGCTGATGTGATGGCCGATACCAATAACGAAAATTTCGATGTTAGCCCGCCGGCTTGCTCTGGCTTCTTGTTGGGTTGCAAATTCATCTTGAGAGGTGCCGTCTGTTAAAAGGATAGCCACGTGTCTCACATTTGGTCTTGCACCTCTATTGGGCCTAAACATCTGCGTTCGCATCACCCTCAGCGCGCGCGAAATGCTGGTATTACCGAACGACTGAGGTATTGCATTGATCTCCGTTTTTAAAACGGCTTTATTCAAAAAATTATTAAGGTTAAGATGGATCCTTGCAAAATCGCTGAAGGTTTCTACCCCAATTCGGATCTTGAACGAAAAAGAAAAAAAAAATGAGACCTGTCATTGCTAAAAATGGCCAGACAACGGATTTTCGTGTCGGCAGGCATAAGATAGAAGTTAAGCAAAGTATTAGATCATTGCAAAAATTAGAAAATTAAAAACAAAATTGTGCATACTAACAAAAATAAAGAAAAAGAGGTGGAGAACGATCGAAATAAATCATCTGACCCTTTTATTTTTGTTGTTGCATTTCCTATGTTTATTGCTTTGTGAAATGCAGAGAGCATAATATGGCGAAAGAGAAACCCTTCATCTTCCATCTTTAAGGGTATTTTCAGATAAAACGTCAACATTCAGCACTAAACGATGAAAGATTCAATCTCAAACACACCAGAGATCGACACCAAAACAAACGCTATTTAAGAAACAAAATTTTACAAACTCACAAAATATATATATATATATATATATATATATAAGCAAATGTAAATGGATATAGATCCGACAGAATGAAGAAAATTTGGAAAAAAAACAAAAAGCTACACATAAAATTTTTAGATCCTAATAGAATTCTTTTCATTTTCTTTTTCATTCAAAAAATAATAAAAATTTTTATATATATATATATTTTCATATATATATAACTATTTTAATGAATATTTTTTCTTGAAAAAGGTTTATTAAACCGAAACGTCAGATATTCATTTTAAAACAACATAATTGCATTTAAGGCAAATTTTTTCTTCATATATATATATATATATATTAATCAAGAACATTATATTAAATCGGTCACCTTTCTTTGAACCTAATCGGTCGTTTTTCTTGAACCTAACTCTTTTCGAATAGCAAAAGATATAAATTTTCAAACTCTTCGGAATCTCTTCCGTCAAAATCTCTGGTTTTTTCTCCATTGAGAGCAGGCGAGGCGTCTTTATCGTCCTTGAAAGTTCACCCGGAACCTAGTTGATCGCTTAGGTTTTGGCAAAAGGTTATCGTATACTGTAGCTTAACTTCACTATAGCTTACATTTTGGGCCACTGGTAGCCAATCGGCTGTTGACCTATACGATATGTTTAGGCCTAAATCTTGTTCGATGCCAGATCGACTTGTATGCCGCAATTTCCAATAATCATTCGGACCCGCAATCCTGAAATTTCGAATTCCCAAGTTTTCTTTATTGCAATTGTTTTCAAGTTCCGCCATCTTGGCTACTTGATAAAAACAATTAAAGGGAGACAACTCTCTAACTTTCAACAGAACGTGTCACCTGAATTTTGGGATTCATATGTTTTTTTTTTACTTTATTTTGGCGAATTTTTTACGTGATTTTTTAGCGACGAATATTTTGTACCATAACAATTTTCATAACTTGGAAATAAATTTGCGAAAAATCGAAAATAATTGCGAAATCCAGTAAAAGTCACCCACGAAATAAAAATAATTGTTTGTAAGGAGAGTAAGGATCTACGTACATCAAATTGTCTTTAAATGAAGTGGTAGCAGAAGATATATCATTGCACTTTTAAAGGGTAAGCATAGATATTAATGCAATACTTAAATGCAGTGATCAATTTTGAGTTCATCTGTAGTTTATTGTTGCCTATTGCATACGATAGCAGTATGACTTGCAAAGACAAATCTCCACCAACAGAAGTTCAGATTGCAATCAAAAGAGCCAACGCTGCAGCAAGGAAAAGAAAGTTCCGTGCAAATAAAAATCCACATTTTAAGGATCAGTCTCTATTTCTGAGATAAGGTATTGTAATTATTTACACTATTTACATTGTTCGGACTGTTGTCCTCATCTTTATTGTCATATTCACGAAGTTTCGGCCGTTGTACGATCTGTCCATCTTCAGGAACTGTCTATATTTCTGAGATGAGGTATTGTAATTATTTACACTCTTTATATTGTTCGGACTGTTGTCCTCATCTTTATTATCATATTCACGACGTTTCTGAAGAAGGCCGGAGCATATAACATACATGCTTGACAATGCTTCATCTAACGAAAATTGCAGATGATATTACTACTACTAATACTACTAGTGGAAATAAAGCAATTGAAATGAAGATGAAAGAAATCTTAGTGAAAATGAATAATGCTTGACAATGCTTCATCTAATCAAAATTGCAGATAATATTACTACTAATAATACTAGTAGTGGAAATAAAGCAGCTGAAATTCAAATAAAATATGATTTTTTTTCATGAGCAATGTTTGATATTCTCTATCAAAGAAAATTTCAAAATTAAGATGTTTTTTTTAAACTTTTTATCATTTAGAAAATACATGATAAAACGTAAATCATATTCACCTCGTCTGCATTGGGTCCAATTTGCAGACGATCAATCATATATGTAGCAAAATCTAATTGCTTCTGAAAGTGTTCGCTCCATATACTTGATGAAGAATCGAGAATAAAGACGATATCGGTTGGTTTTCCTTTGCAAAACTCCTCTGAAAATATATAATTGTTGTTTCAATACAATGCAAAAAAAAAAAAAACACTTTTTATTTGTTACGTTTTTGTTTCGTGTCACAGTTGATCAACAAAGAGCAGAATATTTCAGAACAACAGTAAAAGAATTTGAAACTCAAAAAGTTAATACGATGTATTTTTACCTTTAGTAAAATATTGTTATTTCCAAAAACTGTTATTTAATGTCAAAACTAGTCATTTGTTTAATTGCAATTTAATAATTGGATCGTTTTTGTTAATCCGTCCACAAATGTTAATTTACCCTCCAAATAAAAAGAATTTATATTTATTAAAATTCGCACCAAATTCTCTCAGAACGAGGACCTTCCATTGCCCTCCAGGTGGGTTGACCTTTGTAATTCGGGTGAGCTATTTATAAGTATGGGGTTTACGTTCCTGCTCACGCCGATAAACAAGGAAAAACATTTTTAATTGCAAAAAAATCCTTGTGAGTACCTGGGATATCATACTCACTTACGAAATGTGAATAACTCCTTGATTGTTGGTAAGTTTTAATACTGAAGGTCGGAGTTATTGCGAGGCAAGCTAAACAAATTTTAATTTAAAATTTCAAAAGACTGTCAAAAATTTGTGCGAAGTAACTTTACTTTATTTGGAATGAATTAACAGAAAACATCTGCAAGTTATTATGATCAGTTTTTTAAACAAAAAATATAGGAGAATGCAAGCAGATTTAAGTCTTGATACAATCATTTTCCAAGCGTAGCTTAGATTTGGCACAAGGCCAAAAGTATGGGTCTTAGTGAGGATCGAACTCACTCGTAATTGTTCTAGCTAGACAAGCTGGCTAACATTACACCACCGCGAGGTGCCCAAATAGCGTCGATATATAATGGTGCTTACATAGGTAATTTTTGAAGAGCTTAAAAATAATGCATTTTCAGTGACTGGTTCACACCAAATCCTCCCAGAGTGATGACCTTCCATTGCACTTCAGATTGACCTTTGCTGCCGCCCCCAATGTGTACAGCTTGGGTACGCTATTTCTAAGTGTAGGGGTCTATGTTCACGCTCACCTTGATAAACAAGCTAAAAACAGATTTTGTTTTTATTTTAAATTGTAAAAATTCCTTGTAAATACCTTGAATATCATTTCTACTTACGAAATATGAGTAACACCCTTATTTTTGGTAATTTTTGATTCTGATCGTTGCAGTTGTTGCGAGCCAAGCTAAACAAATTTTAAATTAAAATTTCAAAAGACTGCCAAAAATTTTATAAAAAAAAAACAAGCAAACTTTGATTTAAAATTTATAATTTCTTGGGGTAAATTAATATTTGAGATGAGTAACTTTACATTATTTGGGATGAATTAATAGAAAACAAAATGATTTAGACATACATTTATCTGGTTCGGGAATGAATAAAAAAGATATTCACTCATATTGGTGTTTATTCGCATTTATTTGGTTCTGGGAGAGAAAAATACAGGATGTTTTTATTTGAGTTATTAAATCATTTATTTGAGTCAATGATAGACAAATATTCTTTCTTTCTTTTTCATGTGCCGTGTCCCTTTAGGACATAGGCGATCATGGCTCTCCACTGCTTCCTATCCCTTGTAGCTCTCAATAAATTTCGTTTCTCTGCCACCTCCCTTAGACCACGTTCTGTCATCCACTTACTTAAGGCCGCCTGTGTTGCAGTTTTTTGTGTATATATATGTAACTAGTGAGCTAGCCCAAATGACTTGACTTACTTTATAGTCCACCAATAGAAGGTTAACCAACCAGAAGACGTAGAATATTCAATCCGTTGTGTATAAAGGCGGCCATTTTGTTTACTCTATCCGAATGTCTAGTGCCAGCTTGTCAGGCGAAGAGGAACAGAAGGAAGAACTACGCTCTGCTACTTTACCGGGATATCCACTGCTAACCTGAACTACGCTTCCCTACTGTCTTCGAAATATTCACTACTAACCTCTGGATTCTATACTCAAAGACGACCGTCATTATTAACAACAGCCTGTTATGTCATGCGTTGCTTTACCATGTCTCCTTTTCCTTCGACCTGTGAGTATCAGATTCTCCAGGCCCTCTTTTCTCATTATGTTTCCCAGTAATTTCAGCTGCTTCTTCCTGGTGTTAAGTATAAGCCTCCTCACTTGCATCTTCTCCAAAACCTTATCGTTGCTCACACGCTCGGTTCATGATATCCTTAGCATCCTTCTGTAGAACCACATCTGCGCTGTCTCGAATCTCTTCTTGATCAACATTGGCTGCCGTAAAAGAGGACAGATATCATGTAGCAGTTCAGTACACCTTTAATTGTTACGTAGGATACCCTCCTGCCTCATAATACTCTGACTAGCTCTTTGGCCATCCCAATATGTCTTCGGATCTCAGCTTCGCACTTACCGCCCTCTGTCAGAACGCTTCCCAGATATTTAAACTTCCGCTTGATTTTAGTGTCCTCGACTTGTAAATCGCATTTCGGGCTCATCCTTTTACTGATGACTATGCATTCTGTCTTCTTGTAGTTTACACTTAGTCCTTTCTTCTCGCTCTCCTTCGCTACCTTCTGTAGGAGGTTTTCTAGTTTCTTTTCCATGTTTGTTATCAGGACTGTGCCATCTGCATATCTTATGTTGTTAAGATTGTGGCCGCCAGTGAAGAATACTGGTAGGATTTCCAATTCTCTCAGAATTAGTCTGTAAGCATTTATTTGGTCTGATGATTGATAAATATCAATTATTCTTATTAGAACCGAAATGCGTTTATTTAGTTTGCCGATAGGTAAATACAAATCGTTTACAGGTGAGATTATATACATTTAATTTTATATTTTAATATATTTACACTAAGCAACGAATTAAAGCAACAAAGACGCAAGGGGTTACTAAGAGTGAAAGAGAATGGGAAGAAAGACAAGGAAAAAAAACGGTTACAGAAAGAAAGAAAGAAAATGGCGACTCGCATTGCATTTAATATTTTAAAAATGGTAGATGCCGCAAAAACAAAAACAAAAAAAACAGCAACAAAGTTCCATGGTTAATAATTGTGAGTAAATAAACAGGAATATGTAAATATTGTTTGTTTATATTTGAGTCTGTAAGGATTTACTTATTTCAGGGACAGGTAAATATTGTTTACATTATTGTCCTCAACTTTGTCGTCATATTTATTATAACGTTTCGGCCGTTGTACGCTCCGGCCTTCTTCAGGTAGTTGGAATGTCGAACTGAACCCTTTATTTCGCTCACTGGGGTAGACTGTTCTAGTTCCACGTGGCATGTAGACTAGAACAGTCTACTCCAGTGAGCGAAATAAATAGTTCAGTTCGACATTCCAACCAACTGAAGAAGGTCGGAGCGTACAACGGCCGAAACGTTGTAATAAATATGGCGACAAAGATGAGGACAATAGTCCGAATAATGTAAATAGCGTACATAATACCTCATCTCAGAAATATAGACAGATACTGAAAGGCCGAAACGTTGTAATAAATATGGCGACAAAGATGAGGACAATAGTCCGAATAATGTAAATAGCGTAAATAATACCTCATCTCAGAAATATAGACAGATACTGAAAGGCCGAAACGTTGTAATAAATATGGCGACAAAGATGAGGACAATAGTCCGAATAATGTAAATAGCGTAAATAATACCTCATTTCAGAAATATAGACAGATACTAAATATTGTGTGTTTATATTTGAATCCGTAAGCATTTGCTTATTTCAGGGACAGTTAAATCATTGGTTGTTTGGTAATTTGTATTTGAGTAGTTATGTTAGTTATTTAGTAATTGGTTAGTATTTATGTAATTAATTTAATGGAGTAGTTAAATATTGGTAATTTATATTTGAGTTCGTAAACATTTTGGTTTATTTTGGTTTGTTTTGTTTTGTTTTACCAACCTCAATGAGTTATTTAACGCCAACAAGATTTTTATTGCTGGTCATACATATTTTTCATCAAAAATATTTTGCTGGTAATGTTGTTTTCATAAAAAAAAAATACGTATTGCTGGGAATAGTTTTTCTTCAAAAATTTTATTGCTGGTATAAATCTCTATTTTTACTCTTTCATAGTGTTGGGGGTCAATTATTTGCCCATAACTGTGGCCCTAACAGTTGCTACCACCCAGGTCAGGGTGGATCTGGGAACACAAGCAATTAAGAGGTGGTTCCACGCTCCTCAAAACCTTCTGATCAGAGGCCTTGCTGTTGGATGTAGTTTATCGTCTTACCCTGGACGTAGATGTAGTTTATCGTCTTACCCTGGACGCGGAGGTAGTTTATCGTCTTACCCAGGACGCGGATGTAGTTTATCGTCTTACCCAGGACGTATATTTTTGTTTCGAGAATAGTTAGACATTGTACCTATTTTGAGTAGTAACAGGGTCGATATCAGTGGACGAAAGCCCAACGAATATTATTATCAACGTTTTAATTTGACATTAAAATTTGAATTAAAAGTTTCTTGAATTTTCCATGTTAAGTTTCTTTCTTTTTATATTTAATATTTTTTTTTTAATTCATGAGTTTGGGATTTTTGTCCACTTCCGTGATGGGAGACTGGGCTTTTGTCCATTGTGTTGTTGTCCGCTGATTTTATCATGGATTCGAGTTGAGTATAGATGCATTTCCTTAGCTCGGCGACAGGTAAATATTGAATGTTTAGATTTGGGCCTGCAAGCAATTCCTTACTTAGGGTCCCAGCTTTGGTTAAATAGTTAAACCCCAAAGTGTGGTCAAACATGTAAATATAGGTTTTATTACCAGCAATACATTCTTGAAAAAAAAAATCACCACCAACACATTTTTGGGAAAAAAATATTAGCAGCAATAAAACCTTATCGGCATTAAATAATCCATTGAAGTTGATATGCCATAAACTAAACCAAACCAAACCAAACCAAACCAAATCAAACCAAACCAAACCAAACCAAATCAAATCAAACCAAACCAAACCAAATCAAACCAAACCAAACCAAATCAAACCAAACCAAACCAAATCTGAATCCGTTGGGGTGTTACGTTCCCCAGAAGTCATTGCACTCCATAGATGATAAAAAAAAAATTAATGGCGAGACATGACAGTTGACTGCCTGGAGGAACTGGACATTTAAAAAATATTTTTATGTCGTTGTCATTATATTGCATTAATGGAAATATTCTTTTCATTAAAAACAAACTAGTTAGTTTTGCTATAGTTTAAATAATAGATTAGCTTGGTTGGTTGATTTTGTTTAGCGGCATATCAACACCTCTGTGCTTTATTTGATGCCAGAATCTAAATATTTTAAACACAGTTTAATGGCTTCAATTACAGATAGAATGTATTGTTGGTCATTTTATTATAAAATGTATTGTTGATAGTTCTACTATAAACTTGTATCATTGGTAATTTTGTTTATAATGTTTTACTGGTATTTCTTACTATAAAAAGGTATTTTTATACTTTCATAGTGTTCGGGGTTTCGCTATTTATCCATAGCTGGAAACTTAACGGGTGCTACCACCCTGGATCAGGGTAGACCTGGAAACAGCAGCAATTTTCGCGGTCCCCAAAACATCCAATCTCTTAATCAGATGCCTTGCTGCCGGATTTAGTTTATCGTCATACCCAGGCTTAAAATAGTAGGGTAGTAGAGTATCTATCTAGCCTTGGGTGGGGGCAGTCTCTTTAGAAGAAAAAGAGGCAGAAAGTTCGAAGCTCAGCTTGATTTGGTATATAGCCACCCCCCTCCACGAGGGTTGCATATGGCACAAGGCCGAGTTTAACGTAGGTTCGGCCAAAAAATGCCCGTAGAACCCGTATATACGGGATCGGGTTGGTCAACCTCCCCGAACGAGACTCTGCTCTTCGGCGAAGTCTCGTCCGGGTTCCTCTCTGCTCAGAGGCAGAGAGTTCGACCGTCAAACCGAAGCGGCTCAACTTGATTCGACCCTCTCTTGAGAGGCGTAGTATACATAGCGTTACGAAGAGTTCATTCTGTAGTTATAGGTAAGGACCCATGACAGATGGCAATATTTTTTTTCCACAAAAATGTATTGCTATTAATAATTTTTTCCTTCAAAAATCTATTGCCGGTATTTTTTTCAAAAATGTATTGCTGATATTAAAACCTATTTTTACCCTTTCATAGTGTCTTGACCCCAGTTTGGGGGTCAAATATTTATCCATAAATGCGGCCCTAACAGTTGCTATCACCCCGGGTCAGGGTGGACCTGAGAACATCAGCAATTAAGAGGTGGTTCTACACTCCTCAAAACCTCCTGATCAGAGGCCTTGCTGTTGGACGTAGTTTATAGTCTTACCCAGGACGCGGATGTAGTCTATTGTCATACACAGAATTGAAAAGGAAGGTGTGAAAAGCCATGATCACTAATGGTCTGAGGAGAAATGGGTTTAGAAAGAATAAGAAATTGTTTAAAAAATAAAATTTAAGAATACTTACCATTAACACTCTGCGATTTAACTGCCAACACCTGTTAATATAGAATTAAACCCATTAAAATTGAGTTACAATTAAATTTTGGATAAAAGGTTCATAGCATCTGAACACATAACATCCTTTCACACAGGGTTTATATTTATGATATATTGGGGGTAACAGTAAAATTGTTAAAATCGTGTAAAAGCAAAATTGTCTATTTATTAAATTAAGATTTGAACCGTTGTATTTTAGAAATGATTAAAGATATCTTACTGGAATTTTTCGAGGTTTTTATGAAACTATTGGATCCTATTTTGAGCAATAAGAATTTTTAATTACTCTCCAAGCTTAATAGAAGAATCGTGATGAAATCGTCCATAAAAGAAATTGACAATATATATATATATATATATATATATATATATATATATATTGAACAATAAGAAAATAAAAAATAAAAAATTAAAATCATTAGACACACTGGGTTGTAGATTAATATTCTTTCGTTTTTTATTATTATTATTATTCCATTTAGATTCCTCGACTAGTTTCGACCGAAATGGCCATCATCGGGAGGAGAAATATTTCTGCTTGCTGTTAGCAGTGAACTACAGAAATGAATGTCTTTTGTTGGAGAAAATGAACTTTTGTCTGTAGTTTTCATTTGTTTTTTTATTTTTTTATCTTTTTCACATGAATCTTTTAACATTCCTTGTGTTGGTCAAACAGTCTCTTTTAAGTTGTTATTTGAGATAAGAACTATATATATATATATATATATATATATATATATATATATATATATATATATATATATATATATATAGTTTGTGCAAAACTAGGTAATCCGTATGGGTAGATCCAAGGAGGATGATATCCGAAGAGCTCAATGTAAATTCAGAGCAAATAAATTTGAATAAAAACAGACCACTTTAAGGTTCCATGTAATAAATTATTTCACCACAGCCTTTTTAAAGGGCTCTGGATCATCAGACTTTACTTCCAAAAGTTGAAAAAAAATGTTTCATTAAATAATATAGACAAGTTTTGTCTATTTATTTTAAGTAAGTTCCTTTCATATTGTCTGATAAGCTTGATAACATTATCATTGAAAGACGAAAGAAAATCACCATATTGATACATGTTTTTTAATCCTATCTAAGCTTTATGTATATATTCTAAAACAGTAAAACGTTGAATGAAACACTAGTGAGGTTTCGACGGCCATGACCTCATCAGGTGGTTAACTCAGTGAAATCATTGCCTACAACTCACGAAGACTTAAATTATATATATTTTAATTTCGCGCATGCGTGTTGTTTGTTTTTGATTTTGTCAACTGCACAGTATAGTTGGGTCAGTTGGGCACCGTCTGTGAGAAAAAGAGCACCATAATGAGCACTCCACCAGAAATTTGAAAACACCATGCTGTACTGCTTGGCATTCGCGACAGAATCTCCAAAATCGAACATTTCAGAGCATTTGGTTGTCAATCTGAGGAAAGGGCAGAGGATTCGGAAAGAGTTGGATGAGTCTAATGGTGATTACGAAGGTATCTGGCGTGCTCACTAGTGATGGCGGCGTTATGCCTACATTCATCTTCCCAAAGGGCCTCAACACGGAGGTTTACATTAAGTGGCTTGAGGAGGTTATACCGCTCTGTGTCAAGAGGGTGGATGCTGGAAGACCCTATGTCTGGCAACTGACTCTGCACCATGCCACAAAAAGGAGAAGCCAACCATGGCTGTTAGACAATTTCTGCGACTACCATCACCCCTTACATCTGCTCACCTAACTTCCCAGATTATTATGTGGGGCACAGTTTGGTGAGAGATGAATAAAACTCCCAATAATACCAAAGATGAACTGAAGGCAAGGATTATGGCTGCATTCATCAACTTAAACAAGGAGACAGTCTAGAAGAGTTGCAAGAGATTCCGAAGTTGTCTGGAGGCCGTGGTTGAAGACAATATTGATTTCATGGAACAAATTAACTCTTTAGTATTTCAAGATATTTGTGAGTAATTTTGGTAAATATATCAGTATTATATTCATTTTTGCATCAACAGGGTAATTTTCACTCTTTAATAACGATACAAAGAAGCTTATCCGAGAATATGAGAGGATCCTATTAAAAATAAGAAGACAAAAGTTGTGTAAATTATTTAATGAGCCGTCTTAATGAAAACATGCTGCAAAATATACACAATATATATATATATATATATATATATATATATATATATATATATATATATATATATATGAAGAGAAAAAGAGCAAGAAAGAGAGAGAAAAGGTACGATCGATTTGTGGATAGCGGCTCGCAATCGGAGGGGGACCGATTTTAAATTCCAATATAGTTCATTATTTTCAGTTAAAGAAAGGTATGAATCTATCTTTTGTCCCTCCAGCTATGGGTAAAATAGCGGAAGAGACTGGGTCTTATATCCTTGAATGGCAACCAGTATAGGAGAAGGAATTCAAATCCTCAGGAGAGACGTTTGTGATCATGTGGTACCCAGTGCACCAGTTATCTGAATTCGACTCCCTCACCCCCCCCTCCCAAAAATGTGGTTCGTTTAAGATAAATATTTACAACTATAATTAAATCATAAGTGCGGGTAGTTTGGGTCGTTTGTTCTAAGAAGAAGAGCTACTGCTTTCTCATATGTCAAAAAAAGACGACAGAGTCTCGCATATATATATTGAGAGACATTTTTATGTTTATACATTCTTTTTATAGATACAAATATTTAAGTAAATGCCCTGTTTTATAGTAAACAGTATTTATAATATTTACCGGCCTGAATGTCCGAGAAATTTTCATAGAAAATATTCGTCCTCCGACAGCATTTGAACCTGTATCCTATACCAAACCGTCATTTAGCCTGACGTGCTCTTAACCGATCGAGCCACAGAGGATCGTTCGATTAGCAAGGTCGAATTTACTGCCTTTAAACTTCAGTCTTCCATGAATCTCTCAAGTACGTTCATATCTGCTCAAAGCGTATCCAAATGTAAACAAATGACGTCACATATAAATTCGAAAGCATCACCAACTGAGGCCGCTTGAGTTTGTGTAATGTACAAGGCTATACGCACTATTGGCATTTGTTCCTCCATTTTTTCTTCTATTTTTTAGAATATCCACATTGCACCCGACGATAAAGCTGGTGTTTGAGGTGATAAAGATTAAAACTAAATGTTAGGTTCATTATTTCTATCAATTTTTGAGCATTTAGTTTTAAATATCGTCTGAAAAATGTACAGGTTTTTGCTTACAAACTGACTTCAAAATTTTACTATTTCAAGAATAAATCCAAATAAAGTTGATATAATTTTCATTAGATACATTGAATGTAAAATATATTCAAATCATAATTTTAATTATGAATCATAACAAGCAAAATATGCAATTTTTTACTGTATTCTACAAATAAAAACTGTGTAAAAAATGTAAAAGATTACAAAAATGGCTACAAAATGAATAAGATTTCTTTCATCCTTTGTTAGATCATAATAAAAACAAAAAATCGATAAAAGTGTATGTAACACCGTAATATTGCTGGGCAACAAATTTTCAAACTGTTTTAAATTATGATTGATTATCGACATAAGTCCGACAATTATTCGAATATATTTATTGTTTAAATGTTACTTTTTTTACGTACAAATATTTAAGTAAATGCTCTCTTTATAATAAACAGTATTAACAACATTTACTGAATGATAGAAAAATCTCAAAGAAAAAAATGTGTACTAGACAGGAATCGAACCTGCATCCTACACGGAACCGATATTTATTCCGACGTGATATACCATTTAGCTACAGAGGAAGCGTCTGTTTGACAAGGTTAAATTACTGATTTTGAACTACAAACTTCCTGTCAATTTTCTTCTTCCCCTCCTTCTCTCTTTACTTCTCTCTTGCTTTCCCTCCCCCCCATAAATCTAATATATCAGTCCAGGGTATCGTCTCCATTTACTAAGAAATTTCGATCTGAAGAGTTGAATATGCAGATATTCACGACATAAATTATAACAGAAATGAATCTATGTTTTCTTGTTAATTATTATTATTATTATTATTATTATATATACTGGTAGTAGACTCTCCCGTCGTTCTTCCGACGTATGAGGGTCAAGCAATTTAGTTCCTAGGAACCGGTAGTCAGACATCTGCACATATGCCTTGATTATAGTGGTGAAAGCTTTGTGCAGAACCAACCCCACTTTTTGAAGGGCCGAATACAGAGACCTGGTGCACTACGTGCCACAAGGTCCCCAAACGACTCACCGCAGGTTTTGAATTCTTCTCCTAGACCAGTTGCGATTCCAAGGCTATAGAACTCAGCCTGTTCTGTAAAACTCTGATGGCACAATTTGCAAGTGTTGAGATGTTGGGAGTGTTTCCGCGTGCGTGTATTCAAATAAGGACAAACACATACGTAGGGAAAAATACTGGTATATCTGAAGAGGTATTTACAACAGAGAGATTAGTAGTCAAACGAACGCAGGTTAGTCAGTAACAATCAGAAAGAGTATAAAGTCTAACTGTATCTTCCGGTAGAGAGACGGAAGTGTGATGGTCACCTGATCTCCCAGAACCCTCTAGAACTGTCCTATGTCGTAGAGAGATCAGTCCATTCTCATGAGAAGGTGGGTGGCCCCAACAGCAAGTATATCAGAACAAATTGGTATCCGAGGAAAAAATTGGGAGGTAAAAAAAGAAAGAACAAGAAATATCCGGACAGGGCAAAAAATCGTCAAGTGCCTTAAATTTCTATTCCAAAGAAAAAAAATTAGCGACTAAGATAAAACGTGGAGTGCTCAATACGGTAAGTAGAGAAGAGGAAGAAAAGAATTCTAAAGAGCCAGGGATTATCTACCCAGGTTCCATCTAAATGGATCTTCAGGGTAAGCTTACCCTGAAGGTTCATTTAGGTGAAACCTAGGTGCGTAGTTCCTGGCTCTAGGATTATATATATATATATATTGCGTCCTGGGTAAGACGATAAACTACGTCCAACAGCGAAGCCTCTGATCAGG